TCTTCCTTGGTGTATTAATGCATAAATTAAGTCATATCTGAAGAGAGCTTGGTTTACAGTTGTCCAGGTAGGACATTAAACTGGCTGTCTCTAGATCCCTTCCTCTTTTACAAAGTGTCATTAAAGCACATATTTTCTGGTATTTCATTGTCAGGGTCATTAAAAACCATATCATTTCTGGTAGAAATTATTACATCTGTATTTTCTAGCTACTAAGCAGCATTTTCCATTATTAAAACACAGAATCCTTTCACTAGCGATCATAAATGTCAATATACCAAGTTTAAAAAACAGCCAGCATTGTGTAAACCAGAACTAATGCTTTAAGACCAGAGTTTCATGAAAATAATGATGCCAAATATTTTCATAATTGAAATTCTATAACATAGAAATTAAGATTTCATTTCCAATATAAACCTTGAGATTCTGATGAACCCTTCCTTCCATGGAGAAAATTGTAAAGGTCAACCATTTTTGTCATTTGAAGGGAAATTGGTCAAGGTACTCCAGGCAAAAGCCACAGGACACAGCTACAGCTGGATGAAGCAGGCTTATTGAGTGCTTGCAAGGCGAGAATGTGTGCAGGCTCTCTGTGAGGGTGTTAGGAAGTATTTGGGCCCCCAGTGAGTGTTGTTGAGGAGGGTTCCTGGATGTGGCGCTTTATGCTGAGTCTGACCCTCTCAAAAACTAGGAAATTCTCTGATTTTGTTGCTTGATGACATACCCAGCAATGGGGAGAAGCAAGCAGAGTAGAGCAGTGATCAGTGAGAAATCGGCCATCACTAATACTGGTCAGATTTAGGGATGTTCAGTCCCATTCGTGTCCTGGACAGTCTCTTGGTTTTGTCTGAGTTTAGACATAATTACAGTGGGTGTGTTGTCTGATCCACCAGGACCACAAACGAGCCTTATCTGCAGTTAGTATGCTGTGAAATTGGTTATGCTCAACACAAGCAGGCCAAGGTCTTTCTTTCCGTGAGTGCTGGCCAGCTCTGAGGAATGCGAAGAGCTCTTAGAAATGGGCCATTTTCCAGCTGCCAGCAGTGACCTTTATCTCTTTCAAAGGAAAATAAATTTGCTTGATTTTAAAACATGCACTTGAGATGTAGACAGGATCTTCCTTCTTGTCGTAAGGGAGCAAATGCCACTGAGCATAAAGTGACATGGTTTTTTATCTTTTATCTACAATCTCTAAGCCAGAATTGTCTGAAATTTGTTCTTTAATTATTTGGTTGAAATATCTAATGGGAAGTGTTATGGGCTTTTTTAGTGTTTACTTATCTCATTGAATGCAAACAGTCAATATTTTTCTGTACAAATCAACTGATTCTAGATGCTTGACCAGAATGGTGAAGGTATTATAACTGACCCTATGGTGAGCTCACATCTGGGCTTCAGGGCAGTGTCAAATGTTTGCTTTCTGGTCATTGAAATACACTTTGGAGAAGTGTTCATGCAACATCACCATTGAAGATCTGTTACTCAGTGTGGAGTCTGTACAGCTAACATGACCCATCTTTTTAGAAGAGTGTAATCATGATAATAAAATCACTGCAGAGCACATTGTGAATCAGTCATGACTCCAGGCACTATATATGCAATGCTCATATAATTCTCAAATCATTCTTTATGGCCGAGGATACAGTCTTCCTCTTTTACACATAAAAAACTATGGATGTTCAATTAGGTAAGGTTAAGTGGCATGTACACAGACCAGGAATAAAACAAAGTCCCTTCTTCCAGATCCTTCGCTACCAGTTTGGACTGTGGATGGCTTTAAGTGTTTTCTTCAACTAGCACTGGTCCACATTGATAGAGAAGTGCACAGGCCATCTCACCTGCTACTTGAGCATAACAGATCTATCACAGAGGATGACATTAAAGATTTTATCACATGTCAATTTCAGTGATGAGCACCAGACCTATGGCTTGCATGGTTGTAGGTGAGGCTGAGTTTCTGCTAAACAACCTCAATCCCAGATGAAAAATAAACTGTCTTAAAGATGAGTAGTGACCCATATACATTTCTTATACTATTTACTGTCCATTGTCCTGGAGTCAACTTGTCACTTCTTCACATTGAAAATGACAACTGGTAGTACAATTAATTCAGGGAGGTGGTTACTATGGAATTAGTCATATTGCTTAGTGATACTGAATGGGAGGAAAATAGCACATCCAGGAACTCACTTGGTAGTCCAGGCTGGCCTCGAACTCACAGAGATCCGCCTGCCTCTGCCTCCCGAGTGCTGGGATTAAAGGCGTGCGCCACCACCGCCCGGCTCCTATTTTTCTTACTATGCCTCTCCCTGATTTACCCTTTACCTACATTGTTCCCTTTCTCTTTGGCTTGTTATGTCTTGTAGGGATATGTCAATTAAGAGGACAATGTGGAATGAATTGATAAGACATTGCTCCCTTTCAATCTACATATCCCTAATGCCCATGCTTTTCTTCCCTGTTCCTTTCTTTGCTTGTTTGCATGTATTCTTTCCTGTTTTTTTTCCATTTTGTACTAACTTCTTTGTTGATCTTACCATTTAATATATTTTTTCAGTGTGATCTTCATGCTGACACCATAAATCTGGTCCTTTATGCATGAGAACCCGCTGACCAACGTTTTATATTATTTTTATTATGAATTATTCTGACAGCAAGATAAATAACTGATTACTCCTTCTTTGACTTTATGCCATAAACACCTCTATTTTATCTATATTGGAGTTGCATAATTAATATTCTAGGTCATTTCAAAGGAAGTGGATTGCATTTTTAAGCAAATCATGTTTGTAGCAAATACTTTGCTACTGCCCATTTATCTGCTGTATCAAGGGTGACAGAATACTATTAATCTATATCCTACTTATTTGTGGGCTGAATTCCAGGCATTGGATTGGCTTAAATAAGCACAAAGCTTAAATAAGTACAGGGAACAGCAGTCAAGGGAGGAGACAGAGTAATAGCTTCTGAACAGAAAGCAGTGTGCTTAAAAATTGAACCAAAACTCCAAAGAGCTAGGACTTGGAAAAAAGATATAGCTACAATCTGACAATGGCTCTAGGTCAAATGGCTTCCGAGACTAGGGATGGATTACAGAAGAGGCTAGCAAGGAAACTGAAAAGAAAGATGCAATTAGCAATAGAGATAGAATGGCCATGGAGGAGAGGGTGGCAGCTGAACCAGGGAACGGCTCTGGTGCATCAGGAGATCTTCAAGGGCATAGAAAGTAACAGCAGTATAGGAGGAAATGTTAGCACAGTCTGTTCTAATGAGGAAGTAAAACGGGATTTTATCAGCTTTAGATAATCAAAGAATCATATCAGATGGAACTTTCATTCAATGAAAGATCATGCCAGTCATCACAAGGTTCTTCGATGGCATCACAAGTATTGCCATGTTAAGGACAGTGGGTCCCTTGGTTATGAAGGACAAGCTTATTTCATAGAGGTAGTATGTAGTATGAATTGTGAATTGTCATCCCAGAAGTGTGCACTTTTTATGGAAAATTTTTCAAGGGCAAATGGGACTGATTGGGAGCCTAAATCTATAAACTTCAAATGTGTTCTGTGATGAATATCTTTAAAACAACAATCAAACTGGTCTCTTGAGAGCAAGCTTACTTAAGGCCACTAATCAGTACCAGACCTGCCACTTTAGAGGAAATGTCCATAAAGAAAAGGTATTATGATGTTGAATCACCATAAAATTGGAATATCATTCAGATTAAGTACTATGAGAACAAATATCAAGGAATTTTATATAAAATTGTGTGCTGGGGTCAGATATGAAAATACTTATGGTTGGCATAGAGTTCCCTAAGTGAGGCCTTTGAGAGGAGTGTGGCTCATTCCCCTACTACCAACCTCTTTGCATCTATACTTAAGGACATTTTTAAAGAAAGAATAATTAAGGACATGTGATCTTTGTTTTTCTATATCTGTCTTGCCTCTGTGTAATAGTTTCCAGTTTCATCCATTTACCTGCAAATCCCATAATTTCATGTTTCTCTACTGCTGAAGAGAATATTGTCTAAATGGACCCTATTTTCATCCTCTATTCATCATTTGAAGGACATTTAGGTGGTTTCCATTTCCTAGACTATTGTGAATAGATTGATGAGAAAGTAACTAGAACAGGATGTGGAATCCTTCAGGAATATACCAGGGAATGGTATAGTCAGGTCTTATGGAAGATACAGTCTTGGGTTTTTGAGACTTCTCTGCACTGTTTTACCCAGCGGCTGTGCCAGCCTGCAGTCTCTCCAACAATAGCTAAAGGTTCACCCTTCCCCATGTCCTCATCAGCATTTGTTGCAAGTCATTTTGTTGACCTTAACCATTCTGACTGCAGAAAGATGAAATCTCAAAGTGGTTTTATTTGCATTGCACTAATTATTAAGGGTGTTGAATACATTTAAAAATATTTATTCTTAGCCATCTTTTTTTCCTTTGAGAACTCTGTCCTGAGGAACTGCCCTCATTCCATTGCACTTCAACTGGATGGTGTTGACCTGTCTGAACCGTGAAACAAGATTCCTATTGTGTCCATAAAGGATTATTTTTAAGACTATGGATGATTCTAGTACATTTCCCTCTACTTTACAGGTTAAATTAAATCTATATTAAAAAAATTAGATTGCATCTCAATTAGACAGAATGTACTATCGCTGTAGGTTGGAGACATTGCCTACGTATTTAGAGCACAGTTTCGTAAAATAACTTGACAGTTGTTTTAGATTAAGGTTATTTATTAATTGTATTGTGTTTTGTTTAATGTTAATTAGAAAAAATTCTACTTCTTTTAAAATTTTGTTTACCATCAACTACTGGTTTATCTTTGGGGATAACAATAATGTCTACTGTTAAACCTTTTACATTGGTTATTAAAAGATGTTTCTATAAATATATTCAGGACATGGTGTGTGCGTGCTCAGTTATGCTGGTTTGATTACATACATCACACTATAATTTACTATTTTATTTCAATGTTTTAAAATTCAGGTCCCAAGTCATTTGCAAAGGCATTTTCAAATGGCTATCTAATTGGAGAAGTTCTGTACAAGTTTGAACTTCAGAGTGATTTTTCAGAATTTTCAGAGAGCAGGTTAGTAAAGTTATTCTATTCGTCAAAAAAAAAGTCAATATTTTTTGGCATTTAGACCTTTGTTGTCTCCAGAATACAAAGGAGAGGAATGAATGTGTTTGCAACAAGACTGCTTCTGTAGGAAAGTCACAATTTTATTCCTTCTATACCTCTGTAGTCCTAGCCCAGATTTCTCCTTTCTTTTGTTATTGCAGTGTTCTTTCTTGTTTTGAGATTTTTATTTATTTTCATTTTATGTGTACAAGTGCTTGCCTGTATGTCTGTGCACCATATGCATGCAGTGTCCACAGAGACCAGAAGAAGTTGTCAAATCCCATGAGACTGGAGTTACAGATAGTTGTGAGCTGCCATGTGGGTGCTGGGAATCAAACCCAGGTCCTATGGTAGAATAGCCAGCGTTATTAACTCCCAAGTCATCTCTCCAGACCTGATTCTTCCTTCATTAAAGGATAGAAACAGAATGCAATGTAGTTTCCTTGATGATCAATCAGTATTATTGTGCTTTAAAAATATACAATAAGACTTAACTGTTAATAAAAGCACACAATTTGTCTTAACAGTCATATTGAAATATAATTTTAGGCTGTAATTTGTCACTTGAAAGTTTATGGCTCAGTGTGATTGGTTTTAGTATAGTTACATATTTGTGATACTGAGGCCCTGGTGCCTGTAAGCTTCCAGTCTCTGGATTTTCCAGCTACCCATGGTGCTTACCAATGGAGTAAAGAAATATGTCAGAAAAAGGACACATTTTGTTTGGCTTTTCCTACTTAAGATCAAGTCTCAAGGCTCATCTGTGTGCCTCATTTTCATTACTACTTACTTGTGGGAAATTTTCAATTCCATGGGTATAACATGCCACATTTTGTTTATCTGTAGATAGATAATTTGAGCTTTTTTCACTGGAGTTATTATTTATAATGAATGTTGTATTGTGCATGGTTATATTCTTATTCCCTTTGAGTATTTATTCCTCTTGACTATATGACTAGGGGTGTCATTGCTGTGATACATATATAAGTATATAATCATATATACATCATGTATACATCATAAAAGCACATATAAGCTGTTTGATAAAGCAGCCACACTGTTTAAATCTACAGTAGCAGCCTGCAAGGGTTTCAGTTTCACTACATTCTCATCAACAGTTGTGATTGCCTTTCTCCATATTGTTTTTGTTGAAAATTGACTTTTTCCATACAATATATTCTGATTACAGTTTCCCCTCTGCTACTGTTTGCACTTCCTCCCCATCTCTCCTCTCTTCATAGCCATCCTAATAGGCTGAACGTGTAGTGCATTATGATTTTAAATCACGTTTTCCTGATCTCTAACGATGTTAAATATCTTTACATCTTATTATTCATTTATTCATCTTCATTGATGTAATGTCTATTTTGATAGTCTACTTGTTTTTAAATCAGATTGCATTCTTGTTGTTTTATGTTATTTTCATATTCCAAGGTAAGTTTGTTGTCAATAAATGATTTGCAAATATTTTTTCCATTGCATAACTTAAATTGTAACTTTGTTATGATGTCCTTGAGGTATTTTTTTTTCCATTTTGTTGGATTGTGGTTTTGGCGTTTTGAAATTGCGCTCATTTCTTCTTGTTTTTGTTTTTCTTCTTACTGTTCTGTGCCTGAATAATTTCAGCTGATATACCTTTGGGTTTTTTTTTTTTTATTCTTTCTTCTGGCCATTTATACCTGTGGTTGAACTCTTGCGATAAGTGTTTCATTCCTGAGTCTTGGTCACTGCTAACCACACTAGTTGGACCAACTTTCGGTAGTAATTCTAAACTCTAAAATTGTATTTGGTTCTTATTTTTGTAATTCTTATTTCTTTATTGTTGAGAGTTTTTCCTCATTCTTTCTTCTAATTAAAAAATTTCTTTTAGCTTTTGAAAATATTTTAATATCCCTTCTAAATTATTTTTGTAGGCTTTGTCAGAGAGCTTCTACTGGGTCTTTTTCTTACATGTGATCTATACTTTTTTGTTTATCTGCATGTGTGATAATTATTGAGCACTGAGCATAGAAAATAATATAGTATACTGTCTTAGTTACTTATCTATTGCTGTGAAAAGGCACCAGGCCCAAAGCAACTTTTAAAAGGAATAGTTTATTTTAGACTTCTAGTTCTGGAAGGATAAGAGTCCATCACTACTACAGTGGGGAGCATGGCAGCAGGTAGGCGGTCAAGCATGATGCTGGGGTAACAGCTCAGCACTCACATCTTCATCCACAAGCAACGAGCTGGTAGACTTAACTCAAAATTGAGTAAGTCTTTTGAAACCTCAAAGCTGGATCCCAGTGGTCACACCTCCCATTCCTCTGTAAACAGTCACCAACTAGGGACTAAGTATTCAAATGCCCAAAACTTGTAGAGGAACATCTCATTCAAAATACCAGATTTCTGCAGTTTTGGCTGTTGTTGCTGTCTGCTGTGGATGCAATTTTAGCGACTTTTTGTTTCCTTAATGACTTTGGGGGACACATTCTGTAAAGCCCCTATTCCTCACTGTATTCAGTACCTACATCCTCTACCTGATAACTTAGTGATCAGCCAGTGCACATTTTGAACAGTTAGTCTGCCTTTGCTGAGTGATTGTGAAAGTGTTGAATCATGTTTTGCTTTGGAAATATCCGTTTCTGCCTTGGTCATCACTTCCCGTATTAACACCTTAACCAGGTCAGAGACATGAGATGTTTTGAATACCTCAAGTCTTCTCCAGGAGCCCATGCTCTTGCACACATGTATGTTGCCTTGTAGATCATTGCTTGGGAACTACAAGAACTTCTGACTCAGCACAGCTCATTCTTAAATCTCTCTAGTTTTGAGAAAGCCCTTGTTTAGCGCAGCTGATAGCACCATGCCAGGCAGCTAGAATCTTGCATATGTGCCACTAATTACTCTCTACTAATACCCTTGGAATATGACTTTACCCAATAAGTAATCTTTATGACAGATCAAATAATGACAAATCCACAAAAAAAAAAAAAGGATTTTTCTACAGCACTGTCAGGCAGGTCAGATAGTGGCAGTGCTTGAAACATAGGATCTTTGTTGAGGAGCTTTCAGATCTGTTTGCCTTCTCTGCTGATTGCTGGATTTTATAACTACTGCTGCTGTATTTGGAGACTGCCTTGGAATTAAAAGGAAAAGGGGGATAATGAAATGACAAAAAAAAACTATTATAGAGATCAAGTACCATGTTCATTTATTTTTAATTTTAGAAAACCTTATACAATGTATTTTGATTGTATTCTTTCCCATCCATCTTCTTCCAGATGCTGCCACACCAACCCAACTTCAAATTCCTTCTCTCTTAAAAACAATAACAGAAAGAACACATACCAGAAAATATAGTATTCATTTTGTGTTAGTCAACTGCTTCAGAGCGTGAGCTGCCCTGGAGTATGTTGATGGACCAGTGTCCCCCAATTGAAGCAAACGGATTTTCGCTCTCTTAGCAGCTGTCCGTAGCTTCTTGTTAAAGTGGGGCACTGTGCCTGCTTCCTTTTCTCCATGCCGGGCTTTTGACTTGATTGACCTTGTGAAGGTCTTTTGTCACAGACTCGGTGAGTTCATATGTAAACCTGCAGCAATGTGTCCTGGAAACAGGGTTTCCTTGATGTTGTCCACAACCTCTGTGTCTTCCACTCCTTCTGCATCATGCTCAGCGTGGATCAATGAGCACTGAGGAAGAGGTGTGATAAAGACAATTAATTGGGGGCTGAGTACTTCAAAATCTCTCACTTTCTTTGCATTGTCCATTTGTAAGTCTTTGTAGGAATTGCCATCTTCTGCAAGAAAAAGAGCTTCTCTGATGAGGCTTAAATGATCCATCAGTCTATGGGCACAGCAATGTCATCAGGAGTAATTTTGTTGCTGTGCTCATTTAACAGAAGAATAGTAGTACGTTTCCCCCTGGGCTCATGACCTAACTCACCCCAGGTTCTTGCCCTCATTAACAGTGCCAGTTTGCATGAAATCCCATGAAGTAGTCCTTAAAACCAATTTTAAAAAAAAAACAAAACAGTGACTTCTTCCCCTATAGTATTGTTGTCACTATTGCCCCAGTGGGTGTGTCTTGTGGGCGTGTTCTTAAATAACTTCTTTGAATTGTTGCAAGTCCTTGTCTGATCTCTGATTTTCACAGTTCTGAAAGGGTGATTTGTAAAATTTTTGTCTGAGGTCTTTTGGTCTTAAAGCAGGTAAATTATTGAGTTATTCATTCTGCTGCTGCTGCTGCTGCTGGTGGTGGTGGTGGTGGTGGTGGTGGTGGTGGTGGTGTGTGTGTGTGTGTGTGTGCGTGCGCGCACTCATACACATGTATATGGTATGCCCAAGGACCATCTTAGTTCTCCTTCCGTTCCTCAGGAACAGTCCACCTTGCTTTTTGAAATGCTCACTGGCTCCAGAGCAGGAATGCTTAGCTATTGAGCCCCAGGGTTCCTCCTGCTTCTGTCTCCCCAGCACTGGAATTACAAGTGTTGGGCGCCTGCCTCATCAGTATTTTCACATGAATTCTGACAGAGGAACCCAGCCAGATTCTCATGCTTGAATGCAAGCACTTCTCTTCTCCCCTCCCATTCTCAGTAACCTAACACAAATCACTTTTCACCGACACTTCCCACTCACACATTCCCATGATAAAACTGTGCCAAAAGATATCTGATACATTCTCTTCATAGGTGACTCATTTCTTCATAAATCTAGCAGTTGTACAGGAAGGAATCATATGACACAGCAGAAGCCATAGATTGTAAACATTTTCATACCATTGAGCATATTTTTGTGCCCCCTCCCATCTTTCTCTCTCTCTCTCTCTCT